TTGAGCAAAGCTCCCGGTCATTCTGTCGCTCTGTGTTCCTGCCCTGGAACTGAGTTCTGGGCTAGTCCACTACACCCCCTGACTCAAACTGCAAATCAGAGTTGCTGAACCATTCATGCTGGCAGCAAGAAATGTCCTTCTGTGCTTTAAATGACAATTCTGGATCACAGCTAGGATTGTCTTGATGGTCTTGCTCTCATTTTGAAAAGACATCTAGCCATATGCTGCAATGAATGAATGATTATACTAGACTACACTATACTATATTATACTATACTACACCAAAATGTTTAAATTATCCTCTCCTACCATACTTGTGGGACGCGGGTGACGCTGTGGGTTAAGCCACAGAGCCTAGGACTTGCTGAACAGAAGGTTGGCAGTTCGAATACCCGCAATGGGGTGAGTGCCTGATGCTCGGTCCCAGCTCCTGCCAACCTATCAGTTCGAAAGCACATAAAAGTGCAAGTAGATAAATAGGTACCGCTCCAGTGGGTAGGTAAACGGCGTTTCTATGCACTGCTCTGGTTCACCAGAAGCGGCTTAGTCATGCTGGCCACATGACCCAGAAGCTGTTCTCAGCCAATAAAGCAAGATGAGCGCTGCAACCCCAGAGTCGGTCACGACTGGACCTAGTGGTCAGGGGTCCCTTTACCTTTACCTTACCATACTTGTGTGGTGCGCCACACCTTTTGATAACCACTGCTTGAAATGTGTGATTGAGCAGTAAGGCAAACTTTGCAAGATTTTAGCTGCTGGGTGAAATTTCCCCCTGAAATGGTTATCATAGAAACTAGCCGATGGGGTTGCAGCTTCCAGGAGCCTGCAAGTTTCACTTTGTAAAAATTACATTGCCGCAGAATCAGTGGATTCTGACCAGACATGATAAAAGAGGGCGCTCTTGTTCTCACTGAGGAAGCAGAGAGCATTCCTAACATCTAATCAAAAGTACCCTTAACCTTTTTAATGCAGTCCTTCGTTTGTATTTTTTGTTGTTGTTGTTTATTTCTTTCCATTATCAAAATTATAATGTGCTTATAGGAGGGGGGAGGGCATTAGGTTTTTAATTTTCCTTTTTAAGCATTAAGAGGAAGAATATAATTAGAGGCTCAATAGACAGTGGTTGCCGTGTTGTTGTTTTTACCTGATTATGTGAGCACTTCTGGGTTACTGGCATGAACAGTGGGTTTCTCGGGTGAAGTAGAAGGACCCAGTGCAGGATGCATGTTGACTCAGGCCAAACAAAACATGTCATCAATGCTGTTAAGGCAGCAGGATAGTCACATGCCAAGTGTGACACATCTGTACTGTTGATGGATTGTGATACCTTTTCCATGCCCTGGCAGTCGTAGCTTCGCTTCACCCTGCATGGCCTCACAATCTGTTGCTCATTTTCTTTTCTAAAGTGCTAGCAAAATTTAGTTGCATTTTAAAAGCTGGGGGTGGGAAGCTTTATCTGACTCCGGGCAGATTTTGTCAGCTCTTTCCCGGAACCTAAAAAATTGGTTCAGGCAGTTTTGCATGCCTATTCCAGGTTGTTGTTTTGCAGGTTTAATAATAATCACGTGATATATGTTCAAGAAGAGTTTCTCCTGATCCAGACAAGGAGAGCTCATTGTAAGCAACTTGCTTTGATGGTATCTGGGCGCCAACTGAAACCTTCAGTGCCTTAAGCACCAACATTGGGTGGTCCAGTTCCCACTTACTGAAATACCACAGTTGTGTGTGCATGTGTCTTTTCTGCAGAGTCCACATCCCTAAAGGGTTGGGGTGCCTTTGGATTCTAGCTCCCTCCAGCCCCAGCCAGCATGTGGTTAGTGGTCACTGATTATGGGAATTGCTGGCCAGCAACACCTGGAGGGCTATAGGTTCCCACCTCTGAAATAAACCTTGACACCCATCACAAAGACATGCATTTTGCTAGCAATAAGTAAAAGAGCGAGGGACGCGGGTGGTGCTGTGGGTAAAAGTCTCAGCGCCTAGGGCTTGCCGATCGAAAGGTCGGCGGTTCGAATCCCCGCGGCGGAGTGCGCTCCCGCTGCTCGGTCCCAGCACCTGCCAACCTAGCAGTTCGAAAGCACTCTCGGGTGCAAGTAGATAAATAGGGACCGCTTACTAGCGGGAAGGTAAACAGCGTTTCCGTGTGCGGCTCTGGCTCGCCAGAGCAGCGATGTCACGCTGGCCACGTGACCCGGAAGTGTCTCCGGACAGCGCTGGCCCCCGGCCTCTTGAGTGAGATGGGCGCACAACCCTAGAGTCTGTCAAGACTGGCCCGTACGGGCAGGGGTACCTTTACCTTTACCTTTAAGTAAAAGAGCAACACTAATGGTCTGCTTGACAAAGGTCTGTTATAGAAGCTTATAGAATCAGAGTAGCAAAATGAAACAAGCAAAACCTGTACATGCAGTCATCACAATGCGTTTTGTTGACAGAATTTGCTGTTTCTTGGGACAGGAGTTGATAATCGTGACTCAGAAAGAACGTAGATTCCTTTTCTCTCTCCTTCTTTTGTTTACTTATGCTCGGAAAATACACCAGCCTGGTTACAGATCTGGTGCTGCATTTCCAGTTGCATTGAAATTCACTCCATTTAAGCTGCCTCTCTGGAAACGTGGAAGGAGGCAGCTGTGCAGCGGTTTTGCCATTGGGTCACAGAGCTAAAAGCTATCAGAGCTAAATATAAGAAGCAAATAGGAGTATTGGAAGAATGTGAAACATTCCAGACAGGCTAAAAATGTCACATTTTACACACCCTATTATGTACCAGGAGGAAACGAACAAGTTTAGTAAGGCTTTATTGAAAGGATCTTTTATCCAAATGGGGTTGGCTGTAAAAGGTCTGAAAAAGATGATTAATTTTAAGTAGACACGGGCTACGCTCTTTGCCAAACCCAGGTCATTGTTGATTACCATCTGTTTCCAGAGTCTTTCCAGAGTTGCTTTTCATAGCAAACCTAACCTAGTTTCTCTGCTCTGGTCTGAACCACACAAATTGTAGTCTTATTCTGGTGTTTGGAACCATTGGGAAAATGCAGGACTAGCCACCAACACTGCCACATGTGCCAGGCTTGTGGTCCAGCCAGTACATGACTGATGTCAATAGTTTGACGTCACCTCTCTAGCCATATATACCTGCAGCTTAGGATAACAATTCACACACCTGATAAACTGAACTCTAGACTATGAAAACTAATACATAATGAATGTATTGGTCTTCAAGCTGATGCAAGACTATTGTTTTTGAGAGTGAGTTTGGATGAATGGTGGGAAATAAGACTAGGGTGCAGGAACCTGATGTGTTCACTGGCAGGCCTTAAAGCAGAGTGTCTTCTTCTCCCTGGGCTTCTGAGAAAACAGTGGACCCGCCAGCAACAACTCTAGCCGCCTGAGAAACAGTTTCTATCCAAATTCGATTTTGGTTTTAAACGCAGTGTAAGGAGTCTCTATGGGGGTATATTGTATTTAAAAATGGGGTATCAGAGTTTTTAGGGGACTAACCAGGTTGGGATAGCAGGCTTGTTGGCTTTTGAATGTCATATTATTTTAATGTTGTACTTAATCTTGTTTTTAAGTTGTATTTTAATCAATTGTTTTTATACCTGGTGTTAGCTGCCCTGAGCTCGGTCTTGGCTGGGGAGGGCGGGGTATAAATAAATTTATTTTAAATTATTATTATTATTATTATTATTATTATTATTATTATTATTATTATTATTTAGATTTTCCCATTTCTTTGTTCTGTATGGGACAATGACAGTAAAGATTATCGTATCGTATCGTATCGTAATAGTACAGCAACAAAAGCAGTACCCAAGGCTGGTCCAAGGGCAGAGTCTAAGTCAGCAGAGTCAAAACAAAGTGTCATGCAAGAGACACAATGGGAGCAGCCCATGGTCACCCTTGGTCAGGTTTGGCACAGGCAGGACTTCCATTCCCAAGCAGGGCAGAGAGCTGGTACATAGACATTGTTCCTGCAGCTCTTCCAGCCCAGCCTTGGGGTTTTTGGTCTGGAGCTGCTGGAATCATCCCCAAACCAACGTGGACTCCTATCAGCTCCCTTTTCTACAGAGGTCTCATTGAAAAGAAGGTCTTACTCCTAAGGAGACGCTTTCATATAGTTGGACACTTCTCCCGATTGGTTGGGTTTCCATCTGGTGTTTTAAGGTGCCATCTTTCCCTCAGGCTTGGGACCCATTCAGCCTTAATGTCAGAGGCCGAGCTCACTCTGGGACCCTCGTCACAGGATCCTGGTTCCTTTCCCCCAGATGGAGCCTAACCTAGGGCTTGATGTAAGGCCTCCTGGTCTTCCTCTGTTGAGGACTCCCCTGGCTAAGACATGACACAGTGCTGGACCTCCACATTGCTGGTGGTCATGTTGCCTGGGGCTGAAGGGAGAGTCCAACATCTGAGAGGCCACAGGTTCCCCATCCCTGCCCTAAAGGTATCACATCCAGGATTATAAGCATTTCAGCCCTCCAAGAAGAGACATTTACAAGTTGGAGGGTCTTATCTTGCAGTGCTTTGACATCATTTGACAGTCTTGAGCCTAATAGCTCAGTCGGTAAAGCATGAGACTCATAATCTAAGGTTTGTGGGTTCGAGCCCCACTTTCGGCAAAAGATTCCTACATTGCAGTGGGTTGGACTAGATGACCCTCGTAGTCCCTTCCAACTCTACAGTTCTATGATTCCACAATTCTAATATCTTCCTTTGAAAGCATCAGGAGTGGGGAATTGGTGGTCCTCTAGGAATTGCTGGATTGCAGCTCCCATCATTCCTGACTAAGGGCCGGGCTGTCTGGGGCTGATGGGAGATGGAGTCCAACAGCAAATGCAGGGCTACAGATTTCCCATCCCTGAATGTGTGCACAACTTTGCTTCAGCACATTCCTTGTTGTTGCTTCAACACCACAGTTGCATTTCCCATCTCCATAATATCACCCGAGGCTATCTTGTGCTGTCAGAAGTTGATTTCTTTCTCCCCCTCTTCTTTCTTTCCAGGAGCTCGCCAAGAGGACACCCAGCAAACATGCAGATTATCAGGCAGTGCAGAACGCATTACAGGCAATGAAAGCAGTCTGCACCAATATCAATGAGACCAAGAGGCAGATGGAGAAGCTGGAAGCCCTTGAGCAGCTGCAGTCTCACATTGAAGGATGGGAGGTACGATGGCTGGAGGAACAATGAGCCTGCAATCTTGCCTCCAGCTGTTTTGGGACTGCAACTCCCATCATCCCTAGCTAACAGGACCAGTGGTCAGGGATGATGGGAATTGTAGTCCCCAAACAGCTGGAGGGCCAAGTTTGACCATCACTGCTTTACATGCTTGTGTGCATGAGTAAATCCCATTGAACACTATGGGACTTACATCCAAGTGCATATGCATAGTTTGGGCTGCTTGACATGGTGGCAAGTTTTTGCAAATAGTACATTCTGGGTTTTTTGAAATGTCATGTATGGATTTCCCCCTCATTGGTCTTAAGTGATGTATGGTAAGATTAAGTGGCTGTAAAAATTACACTAGAAAGTTTTTAAGGAGAGATGTTTTCTTAAATAATGTTTTTCTAAAAGTACAGCATTCCATACAAATTATGACAGGCAACAATTACCCTTGCACTAAAATGTACTATTCATAAGATACTAATAAAAGTAGAAAATGAAGATTATTCATCAATTGGAAAATATTAATTCTATCTGAGTATGTATTTCAGAATCATTCTAGGTATAAAAAAGGTAAAACCATTATATCAACCATTATATAATATAATGATATAACCATTATATCAATGATATAACCGATTATATCGGAACCATTATATCAAGCACCAAACAGGGCACACAAACCAAATCCCTGTAGAAAACTATATACACTATCTCTAAAATGAATTCTAAAGTTAAATTTAATAATCTTAAAATGATCTTTATTTTACATAAACATTCATTTATTTTTGGAATATATACATGTGTTGTGTGTGTGTGCTTTGCTAAAATCAATTACCGTATTTTTCGCCCTAAAGGGCGTACTTTTCCCCCTCCAAAAATGAAGGGGAAATGTGTGTGCGTCCTATGGGGCGAATGCAGGCTTTCGCTGAAGCCTGGAGAGCGAGGGGCTTCAGGAAGCTATCCACTAGCCGTGGGAGACGCAGCTCTCCCAAGGCTAGCGGAGAGCTTGCTGGCACCCAGAAGCTTGGGGCGCGCTGAGCTCAGCACGCCGCAAGCTTGGGGCTTCGCGCAGCACTCCGCTAGCCGTGGGAGAGCTGCGCAAAGTTGTGCGACTCTCCAACGGCTAGCGGAGACCTTGCCGGCACCCAGAAGCTTGGGGCGCGCTGAGCTCAGCACGCCGCAAGCTTGGGGCTTCGCGCAGCACTCCGCTAGCCGTGGGAGAGCTGCGCAAAGTTGTGCGACTCTCCAACGGCTAGCGGAGACCTTGCCGGCACCCAGAAGCTTGGGGCGCGCTGAGCTCAGGACGCCCCAAGCTTTGGGCTTCACGCAGCGCTCCGCTAGCCGTGGGAGAGCCGCACGAAGTCGCGCAGCTCTCCCACGGCTAGCGGATAGCAGCCTGTTCTGGGGGCTGGGGTCGGGGGAAATTTGGGCTTCTCCCGCCCCAGCCCTGCACCTGGGGGGGAAATAAATTTTTTCCCCCTTATCCCCCCCCAAAAAAACTAGGTGCGTCCTATGGGCCGGTGCGTCCTATGGGGCGAAAAATACGGTACTTTCAAATGCAGGGGAGCTTTTTTAGGTGGTCAACAGAATCACCTAGGGTTCAGCGTTAAAAGAGATAAAGAACAGGCACCTAGATGATTCTTTGTACGGAAAAAGGATGAAACTGGGGTGCATGCTATTGGCCTGGGGTTCTGTTTGCACAAGGCAACCTCTGGCAACCTGGTGCCTTCCAGGTGTTTTGGACAACAACTCCCATCAGCCCCAGCTAGCACATGGTGAAAGCTGGTATAACTAAGTGCACTGATGGGATGATAAAGGAAAATAAAGACCTTTCCAATTTGCAAAAGAATGTTCCCTGCCTGATTGCCTAGAGATGCTTCACCACAGGAGACCAAATGATTGGCTATTTATAAGCTTGACAAAGAGGGAAATTTAGCAGAGATGCCTCTTGTGATAGAAGCTAGTAATCAGGGGTGCAGCCTTTAATTGAAATTCAATTAAAAGCCTTCTTTATAAGCTCGAAAATGCATCCCTAATTAAACAGACGTGATTTTTAAAAGTGTTGCATGGCTTTTAGAAGCATTGGTAAATGCCAATTTAGGAGTGGCATTCTCTTCTTCTTTCGAGGGGGAAATTTCTCTGGTTCAAGGATGGACAGCCAGATGTTGTTGGATAACAACCCCCGTCATTCCTAACTACTTGATCACGTTGTCTGGGGCTGTTTAGAGTTGAAGTCCAACAACACCTCGAGGGTCACAGATTTTGCTTCCCTGCTCTCATTCTAAGACAGAGCCTGCCACAATCTATGCATGTAACATCTAAAAACAAATATTCCCCTCTCAAAGTGATTGCTTTAACCATATATAAATTTATGCATACGTATTTAAAAATACGATTAATGAAAATGTATTTGATCAGTAGTACAGTATTTCTTTGATCAGCCCAGCTAGTAAGGGATTCTGCAACCGCTTGGCAGATATGGAAGTTGGACATCTGTAGCAGAGGCTGTTAGTGGAAGCAGAGACTTTAGGGAGAGAAGAGTACGTCTTTTATTCCACTATATGGTGCTGTGATTGCTAAATGACTTCATGGATGTATTGGTGCCGGGAGAACAGTGGGCCTGACAGTTAAATTATCCGGCCTGATGGTTGCCAGCTGAGGATTCCTCCACTGAAGCCATCTTTCAAGAGGTCATGTAAACTTCCTCATATTCAGACGATTGGGCGTACTCCACAATTGCCGTTGTTGTTTTGTTTTAAGGTCTGCTCATTTTTCCCTTCAAAGATGTTCTTGGCATCCAACTTGAGCCACTTGAACAGCCCAAGATAATCCAGCTGTGTGTGTGTTTTTGGATAGCCAGCTCGGCAAACAAAGCTCTGAGGCCATGTTTAGTGCAGCGAGACTCCAGGCTCAGTTGTAATACCATTCTGAACTTGATATGACTTGGAGCTTTTGAGAGGGGTGGGTGGTAAGTTGGGCTGGAAGTCCGAAACCTCAGTTGCCATTTTGCCAGGACATCCATGGGAGGTGGTGTTTTATTAAACAAAACCATGATCAGACTTGATTTTGTAGGGTTGAAATGTCCCACAGTGAGCATTCTGGGAAAGAAAACTGTTTCTGATATGTTTATTGGTGGTATTTTACAAAAAAGCGCTGTCCACCATAATTAATTCTATTACTTGGAGAGTTCAAAAGGTAAAATCAGCATTTGTCACCATTAAACAAAACCATCAGAATGTACATATAAGTTTGCCTCTATTAGGAGCTTATCTTGGGTCGATGTAGTTTTGAAATTGTTGTAACCTGCAGGTGACCTAGGAATATATAGGCAAATGTTGTGTTTGGATAATAGTCTGATTGCTTTTTAAAATACTTTAAAAGGTCTGCAAAACAAGTTCCAAAGATGTGTAGATATGTGTGTTGCCCTGGGAGTTAATCATAGTAATTAAATTGTTCCTACTCCTTTGCTTTCTCTCTAATCATCTCCTCCTTTTGCCTCACTGATCAGGTGCTAGCACAGCCTTCCCCAAGCTGGTGCCCTCCAGATGTTTTGGACTACAGCTCTTGTCATTCCCAATAGGAGCTGTAGTCCCAAACAGAAAATTATTTACTGATGTGGAAAAGACCACAGAGATTGCAGCAGCCAACCTCTCTGGGAGGCTGCCACTACCAAAGAGCCCTCCTCTTTAACATTACCTTAATCAATAATATTTAGGCTTTTATCCTCCTCAGAGTAAGCCCACTGAAATAAATGGTGATGTCCATTAATTTAAACGAGTCTGTTCTGAGCAGAACTAATATTGGATACAACGCTTGATCATTAATATTAAAATGGTGATCTGCAACAGGCCTAGGCAAACTCCGGCCCTCCATATGTTTTGGAACTACAATTACCATCATCCCTAGCTAGCAGGGCCGGAGTTTGCCTATGCCTGATCTACAAGGATGGGAAATAGTTAGGCAGTTCGCTACAAGCAAACATGTTGGGACCCAGTGTGGTATAGTGGTTAGAGTGTCGGAATAGGACCTGGGAGATCCAAATCCCCACTCTGCTGTGAAGCTCACTGGGTGTCAAGGACCATGCTGAGGAGGGCTGGACTGAGGTGGAATGGTGGGAGCTTCCCCCTCCCACTCCCCTTGATCAGGATCCTGAATCTTCCCAGGAACAGGAGGACAGTATAGATTTGGAACAGTGGTTTGCAGAGGGACATAGTTCAGAAGGCAGAAGCTGGGAAATACTGGATGGGAACAGCTAGGAGAAGAAGCACTGGGAGAGAGAGAGAGTTAACAGATTCACTGTCTCTGGAAAGCATTCATCCGCTCAGCCCAAGGTCAAAAAGAGCTGATAAGGTGGCAGCACAGAAAGCACCATGGTTACGAGCTCAGGTTACAACATGTGGTAGTGACGTGGGTGACCAGGGAGGAAGTGGGTGGACCCTTAATTTGGAGCACCGTCATTCCTAGGAAATGGATTCTTGTTCTCTCACTGTGATCCTTAAAGTTTCTAACTGGTAAGAAGACCCCTTTTCCTTTGTTCTGCTTATCTACTGCCAAAGGTGGGCGGCGGGCGGGGAGGAAGCTGAGTCCCTGAAGCCAAACACTTGGTGACCTTGAGCCAGTCACTGACTCTCAGCCTAACCTACTTCACAGGGTTGTCGTGGGGATCAAAGGGGGGGGGGCATAATAATAATATATGTCACCTTGAGCTCCTTGGAGAAGAATATGGGATATAAATGCAATATATATATATAAGCAAGAGCACTCATTTAGAGTTAGAGGGAGGTATTTGTGGCACAGTGGCTTTGAGGCTGAGTTGAGGAAGCTCCCAGTTTAAATCTCCTTTCTGCCATGAAGTAGTTTTAGACGAGCTACTATTTCTTAGCTAAGGGTTTTTGAGATGATGTATATGTAGCACACAGCACTCTAAAGTTCTATATAAATGATGGTTATTATTACTACTCTTATTAGATTTGTTGAATTGTCTATACTTTGTCCTCCGCTGCTGAAAGTGTGAAACTCATTCAAATGTGGGCGCAGTGAAAATGGAAAGGAAGCTATTCTGCTGACAATGTGTGTTTCACAATCCCCCAATGGTTCTCTTTTTTATTCTTCCCAGAAAGACACCAGTAGGTCAAATTATCTCATTCACTTCCTTAGTCTGGTATGAACAGCAGATAAGGAAGTCACTGTTAGCATCTCCCTCCCTCTCAATCACACCACAAAGCAAGAAATATACATACAAGCACACAAACAACACATTTCTCTCTTGTGAAATGTATTCGCCAGGTGATTTGCTGGGTGTTAGTCATTGCAGTTTGGAGGATTACCTGTGTGTTTCTGCCCTTGGGAAAGCATAGCAAATGTACAAAAAAGCCACCCTGTTTCATTGGATCTGGTAAAAAATTCATTCCAGTAGTTTGGAGTAGTCATGGAAACTTTGCATCCGTTTTTCACTTATGCCTATAGACTGTATTTGCATGAAAAAGCAAACCATGGTTTGCTGTTGCATGTATGAGCAACCTCAAGCTCCTGGGCTCCTGCCTCCTCTTCTCCCACACATGCAGGGAGATTCAAAGCTTCCTTTCCTTTCCTGGTTAGTGTTAAACCATAGTTTGATTCTGGATCTAAATGTGGCAAACCATGGTTTGCAAAAGCCTTAGTTTACCCAAATATTAAGATAATAATCAGGACCTTCACATTTGTGGAACTCTCTGCCCTGGGAGGTCCAACTTGCCTCCTTTTTTGTTGGTTTTCTGCTACCTTTTGAATATTTGATTTTGTTTAAGCGAGCCCTTGACCTCATAACAGTGATTCTTCCCCCTTGCTCCCTCAAAAAATGTCTTTTGTCGTTTAAAGCAACAGCAACAGCAGCAGTATAATTTTGCTTCTGTTGTTTTTGTTGGAACTTTATAATTATTTTACTTCTATGATTTGTTTTCTTATGTTAGGCTAATCACCTTGAATGCTGTGTTCTGAAGTGGAAAACGAGGATACAAAACTCAAAATACAAAATGGCATGGTTTACAGTTGTACTGCAGTGTCTGAATTTATATGGTGTACATACTGTACAACACTTGGCTATTTAAGTGTGCAGCAAATAGCAGGTCATATCCACCCTTACAGGTTACTCTCTCCCATGGACAGAGAGACCACACGCACGCACACACAAACACATACACACACGCAGAGAGAGAGAGAGAGAGAGAGCGCTTTTCCATAGGGTCATGCCCAAAGTTGGGTGCAGTAGGGTGTTGTTTGAATTTGCAGGATTATTATTATTTTTAAACTGCCGTCAAGTTGAAGCTTTCACTGGTATATATCGACTTCACTGCAGAATTCCCAGATCCCATGCTTACCAGACCATCCCTCAGCTTCTAAAGTGTGCTGACACTTCTTATCACCTTTACTGTTGTTGTGCCCAGAATGGAGGTGAGGGGAGTCTGGGATCCAGTCAAAATTCAATGGGGAAGGGAGGTATATTCAACTTCTGAGACACATTTATCAGGCAATTATTGAAGACCTTGGCATTGGTGCCAAAATACCGTATTTTTCGCTCCATAAGACACACCCGACCATAAGATGCACCTATTTTTTAGAGGTGGAATGCAAGAAAAAAAATATTCTTTAAAGGGAGTGCTGAGCAGAGCCTGTCTGCATCCCAGGCTCTGCTCAGCACTCCCTTTATCACGAGCCACGTGAAGCGTGTGTGTGGCACCTGCAGGCTTTTCCCCGAGGAGGGAGAAGGGCAGCCTGTCACTGATGGGCTGCCCTTCTCCCTCCTCGGGGAAAAGCCCCCAAGACCCACACAAGCGTGTGTGTGGCACCTGCAGGCTTTTCCCCGAGGAGGGAGAAGGGCAGCCTGTCACTGATGGGCTGCCCTTCTCCCTCCTCGGGGAAAAGCCCCCAAGACCCACACACGCGCTCCACGTGTCCAGATGAAGGCTCCCCCTGCCCTGAAGAGGCTTCGCGTGGCTAAGCCAGAAGCTAGAACAGCGAGAGGGAGCGCTGCGCAGCGATCCCTCTTGCTGTTCTGGCTTCTGGGATAGCTGCGCAGCCTGCATTCGCTCCATAAGATGCACACACATTTCCCCTTACTTTTTAGGAGGGAAAAAGTGTGTCCTATAGAGTGAAAAATACGGTAGCTATCAGTGGCTACAAACCCAGATGGCCGTGTTCTGCATTCATTCTAATGGGCAGTATGCTTCTGAATAGCACTTGCTGGAAATCACAGGAGGGGGAAAATGCTCTTGTGTGCAAGTCCTACCTGCGGGCTTCCCATAGGCATCTGGCTGGGTGCTGTGGAAACAGGATGCTGGACTGAATGGACCACTGTTCTGATCCTGAAGGAATCTCCTTATTGGTGGTGCACTGCCACCCATTGCTGTTGTGTTGACAACCCTGACCTGGCTTATTAAAAAACAGGAGAATTCTTAGCTCTGACGATCGCTGAGAAACTACATAAAAAGGGGACATGTAGCATCTGTTTTACTGCAGTAATGTCACCTTGCAGCCCTCGAGAGATGGATGTGATAAGCATATATAAGAGTGCTAAGTAGAATTGTTGATTACCACTTCAATTAGAGGGTGAATTGATGACACTGTGTTTTTTTTTCTGCTTAAGGGATCCAACTTGACAGACATCTGCACCCAGCTCTTGCTCCAAGGCACCTTGTTAAAAATCTCAGCGGGAAACATCCAGGAGAGAACCTTCTTTCTCTTTGATAACCTCCTCGTTTACTGCAAGCGGAAATCCAGGTGAGCGCACCTGTCTGTGCTGCTTCTGAAGTTCCATGATTCTTCTGAAACACAAAGAGAGAGATAATTGTGCTATGTTATCTCTGGGTGAAAAAGGAGAGGGCAGCTAACACTCGTGCTTCCTTAAGGAAGACCCACCTCATATTTTGAGCACTAGGGCTGTAGACATACATGCTGATCAGAACCGCAGAGCCTGCTGCCCTGGCATTCGTCATTAAAATGATGATGCATTGCAGAGTCAGCTCCGTGCTGGAGGTGAGGTTTACTGCCGCAGGCCTTCTCAGAGCAGGTGGGTTTGCAGGAGCACCGGGAAGCTGGGCACATTGCCAATGACAATTTTGAGGTTTTTCCAAGCATGGCGTGAAGGAACGCAGAGGGATTCCGGTGAATACCTTAGGCAAAGAAAGCAGATGCAGAGAGGGAGGGAAGGGGGAACAAACAGGTGCAGGGCGCATAAGACAAGGAAGAGGTACAGCTATATCATTTGTGAAAGTAATGCTTTTCCCCCCCCCTTTCCCTTAAAAACACCCCTCCAACCAATATAAGCTTTTGCTATCTTTTGAGAGAGTTGGGAGCTGAGATTTCAACAGCTACTGCACCAACAAAAGCTTTGCCATAGTTAGCAAGGATTGATACTGACAAATTTCCTGATTAGTTTTTGTATTTCTGCCTTTTCTGTTTTACCATGGTGTGTCCTTTGTTTTCACATTCAGCTACTCATGTCCTCCTTTATCTTGAACTTATTTGCCCATTCCCCTAGACCACATGCCACTCACTCTGTTTTCTAACCATGAGCACTTTACAATTAATTCTTCAACTCCTAACACCCTCCTGTCTGACCCTGCCTATACTCTTTCCCTTATTCTTTGAGTCTTCCTGGTTCTGTTTGTAGTCCGAGTTCATGAAACCCCTCCCTTTCTGCAGGCAGTTTTCCCGGAACACTAAGTTTTAGGAAACAAAATGTTCTGTTGCCTTTTGAGAGAGTGCTCTTGTTTGTACAGAGCAAGCATCAGTGAGCAACTTTTCTATAGTTTGGCTTGGAGTCGGATAAGACGGCTCTGACACTTTCAGCTCCCCGAAGAATCTGTGTTTATATTTCCCTAATAACCATAGCAAGCACTGCCCAGTTCTCCGGAATCTGATTTTCATTAAAAGCTAGGAGAGTCTGCAGCATGTTGCCTAATAGTGAAGGATATATTTAGACATGGCAAAGCTACTTTAATTTTTTGATGGTTCATCTGTCTGGCTGCTATTTAAATTCTGATCCAGAATGGAAATAAATGTCTGCCCACTTGTAGTAGCTGTCCAGCTGCAAGCCTCAACAAGTGACACCCTAATAGGATGCAGCACTGAGAGATGGAGCTTTAACATTATGTTAATAAGATGCAGCTTTCCCCTGTTGCAGCTGTGAGCTTATGCTTTCACTTAGGCTGATTTTTAGTTATCTTGCAGCCTGTCATCCTTCAGACATCCCACTCGGAGGCCTCTTTCACAAATATCCACAGCAGTAGGCATATTCAGGCATTCACATGCTCAAAGTGTTCAGGGGGGCAGATACTTTCTCATATGCACCCTTCCTACCTGACCACTCCTCAACCTTCCCATGTTGCACAAGGAAGGTCTTCATGGGGCTTCAAACAAACCATGGTCTTAGTCATAAATAGTAAACAGGATTCTGGGCTAGATACATTTTGATCTCAGAGTCCTCTTCTTCTTATGTGATTAGTTCGTGCTTTTAGCACCCGTAGCATCCAGGACTGCTGCCTAAATCAGCATTCCTCAATGTCCTCCAGATGTTTTGGACTACCAACTCCCATCAGCCCTGGCCAGCATGTCTCCCCGTCTTGAGGGGCTGGGAGCTGGGGGCACTGTTATACAGTGGTTCCGCTCCTTCCTCCTGGGCCGTGTTCAGAAAGTGGTGGTGGGGGATGAGTGTTCAGACCCCTGGGCTCTCACTTGTGGGGTGCCTCAGGGTTCTGTCCTCTCCCCCATGCTTTTCAACATTTACATGCAGCCGCTGGGAGAGATCATCAGGAGGTTTGGGCTGGGTGTTCATCAGTATGCGGATGATACCCAGCTCTACCTCTCTTTTAAATCAGAACCAGTGAAGGCGGTGAAGGTCCTGTGTGAGTGTCTGGAGGCGGTTGGAGGATGGATGGCGGCTAACAGATTGAGGTTGAATCCTGACAAGACAGAAGTACTGTTTTTGGGGGACAGGAGGCGGGCAGGTGTGGAGGATTCCCTGGTCCTGAATGGGGTAACTGTGCCCCTGAAGGACCAGGTGCGCAGCCTGGGAGTCATTTTGGACTCACAGCTGTCCATGGAGGCACAGGTCAAATCCGTGTCCAGGGCAGCTGTTTACCAGCTCCATCTGGTACGTAGGCTGAGACCCTATCTGCCTGCGGACTGTCTCGCCAGAGTGGTACATGCTCTGGTTATCTCCCGCTTGGACTACTGCAATGCACTCTACGTGGGGCTACCTTTGAAGGTGACTCGGAAAACTACAACTAATCCAGAATGCGGCAGCTAGACTGGTGACTGGGAGCGTCCGCCGAGACCATATAACACCGGTCTTGAAAGACTTGCATTGGCTCCCAGTACGTTTCCGAGCACAATTCAAAGTGTTGGTGCTGACCTTTAAAGCCCTAAACGGCCTCGGTCCAGTATACCTGAAGGAGCGTCTCCACCCCCATCATTCTGCCCGGACGCTGAGGTCCAGCGCCGAGGGCCTTCTGGCGGTTCCCTCATTGCGAGAAGCAAAGCTACAGGGAACCAGGCAGAGGGCCTTCTCGGTAGTGGCGCCCACCCTGTGGAACGCCCTTCCAGCAGATGTCAAAGTGATAAATAACTACCTGACATTCAAGAGACATCTTAAGGCAGCCCTGTTCAGGGAAGTTTTTAACATGTGATATTTTATTGTATTTTTGGTTTTTATGGAAGCCGCCCAGAGTGGCTGGGGAGGCCCAGCCAGATGGGCGGGGTATAAATAATAAATTATTATTATTATTATTATTATTATTATTATTATTATTATTATTATTATCTATGAAATCAGGCCTTCTCCTTTTGATGCTCTGTACATTTGTGTCACAACTATTCATGTGACGCCCGCCATTCTTCCCCCTGTTATTCATACTTTCTGCCGCAACAGAAAATGTCACAACATAACTTAACTTGAGCAGGTTTAGGAAACTGTATAAATGTAGGTACCATGGATTAAACTTATAAACTACCCAATTCAAATCTTCTGGGGGTGTATATTCTAAAATAATACAAATGCAATAAAGCACAGTGTAAAATTGGCAGACAAATCATTGAAGTATGAGCCGCAGCAGATCAATAAAACCCAAAGAAACCATGCAGGGCCAAACAAAATCAGCTACATTATATGCTGGGATGCCTAGACACATAAAAAAGTCTTTGCCTGGTACAAAAGATGGGGATGTTAGAATTATTGTCTGCCAGATGAAAGTGAGAGCAGTTTACATGGCCTGAGAGTCATGGGGAATGTGACAAGCAGTTTGATGAAGAAAACATATGTGGGTTCTACACTAAGGCCACCAAGCGATGTCTTTGCATCAAAACCACCGGAAGGTCGAAAATTTATTACAAAGTGATAATATGGCAGTTTGTTGGGGACAGGGGCAGAGTCACTGTTGCTTACTGGAAGGGAGCAGTGTGAGGTGAGGGGGAAGTTGGAGCAGTGCAAACACACCAGCAGGACCACTGGATTGGCTCCGCTGCTGTGTTTGCACCACATCAATCTCTCTGCTGCTACACCTCTCACCTCTCTTTCTAAGCAGCAGCAACTCACTTGCTGGGAAGCTAGTGTAGCAGCTCTGCCCCACCAGGTGAACCTCCTCTGCTTCGAGAGAGTAGCTCTGTCAATCTTGAATGACTTCCCCCTGAAGCAAAGCAAGGAGAAACTTCGGAAATTGCCTTATCCCAAACCAGACACTTTGTCCATGTAGCCCAATACTGTCTGGTTGGCATTGGCTTTCCAAGGTCTTGGACAGATATGCCAGGGATTGAACCCAAATCCTTTTGTGCCCCCAAACATGCAGCCTAATACTGTGCTACGGTTCCTCCATTCAGAGCACTAAAGCTTAGGAAGTGAAGCAGTTTCATGTTGCTTAAAACTGACAACATGGTGCAGCTTTTATTGACGTGTAGCCCAACAGAGGCTCCATGCCTCATTGCAGGAATTGATGCATTTGTTAATGAGTTTTTGCATATCCACAAAGAGCTAAATATAACATAATTGGCATGCAGATTTTTTTGTTTAGTGGGGCAGACCTATTGTCCTGCATGTCAGCTAGATTGAAAGCAAGATATACAGTATCAGCTACTTCCCTTTATTTTTAGGTTGTACTGGCAACATTATGAATCAATCAGTTCACTTGTGCCACACTAAATTAACCTGCAAAACAAGGTTGCTTAGCATGTTTATAGACTGAAACTAAGGTAAAAATGCATACAAGCATCTTTAAAATGTGCAATGAATCTTTATTCCACTTCTTCATTCTGAAAACTTGGGGATGAATGGGACATTCTCGAGGGATGATGAAGAAGTAGAATGAATGCGTATTTGTGGGAGAAGGCACTATTAAAGATAGTAAAAAAAGCACATTTCTATTTACATAGTGAACAGACATTTTTCTTAACAACGCTTTTCCTTCCTGCAGAGTTGCTGGGAAAAAGACATCCAAACGCACCAAGTCCATCAATGGCTCCCTCTACATCTTCAGGGGCCGAATAAA